TAAAATTTTTGTTTTACATCCGCTGCGCAAACCCTAGAATCGATCTCTTAGGAATAGGATTCGCTTTAGAGATCCCAGGAAACCCTTCAAAGCATCTAATCCCCATACCCATTATAGTTAAGACTTTTTTTATTTTCGTTTCCTTAAAATACCGATAAATCAATTTTTTTGATAAAGTAAGGTAAAAGACAAAAATAACTTTTTGTAGATTTTAAGGATTTGTTATTAGAATTTTTTATTTTTATTAAAAAATAATTATATTAATTATTCTAAAGAAAAAAAATATTCTTTGTTTTAAAAATAATTTCATATTATACTATATCTATATAAAGACAATATTCTTATCATTTTTAACATAATTCATATTTTATTTGAAAAAGGTTATACAATTCAAATTTTGTTATAAAATATATATTATAGTCATCTTATATATATAATTATATATATATATATACATATACATGTTGATATACGATATACAAATAGTATAAATACAATATATGTATATATATATATATATACTCTTAAATTGCAGCAACATAATGGGATTCAATGTTGTATTTTTTTTGTTATTTTTATTACTAGTATTAATAAATATATTTTTTGTTTTAATGCTAAAAACCTTTTTTGGTAAGTTTTAAATATAAAATCTAAAACTAAAATATTATTTGTACCAATCAAATTTTCTTAAAACTGTAAAAACTACAAAAAACAAAAAATCCAAAACCAAAAACCCAAAAATAAAAATCATTAGCATTTAAGTCCTTAGTTATTGAACCCCTTTAGTTGATTATTAATCTGAACATTAAAGTCCATTATTAGTGGGAAAAAAACGCGGTACAAATCAGATGAAAAGCCGGTAGAAATGTATCACTTCTACAAAGTTAAATTTGTTTGAAATGCTTGAGAATGTAATCTTGTATAAATTTCAAAGGACTATTAAAATAATAATATGTATGTACGATTGTACTGTTTCTAGTCCTTTTTAAATTTTATCAACGAGAAAATATTTCAATTCATTCGCTTGATATTAGTTGGAACATAGTGACATATGAAAATGGTAATTATCCTACTCATTTTTTTTTTTCTAATGTGCATAAATCCCAAATGTCATTACATTTTTTAAATTTGGAAAAAAAATATTAAAATTCAAACGGTTTACGCAAAAATCAAACAAAGGTTTCGTAAACGAGGCATATGTAACTTTACCCATCACTATAATAATATTTAGGTAAAACTGCCGGAAAAACATTCAACTAAAATAAATAAGAAAAAAACATATAAATTTGCAACAGTTTAAAATAAATACATTAACTTGCAATATTTTTCTCAAAATACCTAGGGGTGGACAGTTCGGTTCGGGAATCTAGTCCCGAACCGCACCGAACCGATTAATTCGGGAACGGTTCGGTTCGGTATTATATAAAAATACCGAACACTACAAGATTTAATATACCGGACGGTTCGGTTCAAAAAATACCGAACGGTATTTCGATATTTTTATTTTTTAATTAAAAATATTTAATATTAATAATAATTATGATAATTACTAAATATTAATAATTTCGTTACGTCATGTATTTGGATTTATGTTTATTAATAATAATTAATAGTGATATTTTATTTTATTTACCGTTACCAAAGTTCAATAAATTATTATTATTTTTGTCCTTTCCTCAGATGCTCTCACAGGGTCGTCTTCTTCCTCCTGGTGGTCGTGTGGACTATAACAGTAGCAGAGGAAATCAAATTGAAGAAGTGGAAGAAGAAAAGCCGAGGCGAAAACGACTGGTGCACAATCTCAATGTCTTACTTGGAAGAAAGACCCACTTGCCCCTCCGATTGCTTCTCAAAACTCGTCGGACTCTCTCTTGCCTGAGACGCCGGCGCCGGCAACGACCAAACCGCCATCGGCGTCTGTACCATCTCTCCCTTTTTATGTTTTCAGGTCTGAGATTGATATGTTAACCATGATTCTCTGTACATTCCAGTGAGATTTGTTTTTATAATCGTAATTCATCTTACATTGATTATGCAAAAATAGAATCATGTATATTCTGATCAAATGTGAAATCAGATTCTGGGAAAAGTGGGGAGAATGATGGAAAGTTGGAAACGAAGAATACGAATAGATTGGTGAAGATGAAGATGAGGATGAAGATGAGAAGGGTTTAATCTTTTTCAAATAATATTGGTCGTGTCAATCGAAGAACAAATATTATTTTCCATCTACATTTATAAAAGATATCGGTCTGAATTTTTTCGATTTTCCTTGGGTTAACGCCACAAAAAATCTCAAACTGGTTCAAATATTTCATATAAAATTTTTAACGTGTAATCTCCCACACAAAAAAAAAAATTCTAAATTTGATAAAAATTTCTATAAAAATTAAAATTTTCATTTTTTTTCATATAAAATTTTTGACTTGTTTGACCTTCTATTTATAAAAGATATTAGTCTGAATTTTCTGGAACTATAGTCGGATCAAAGTTGAATATTTTTCAAGGAGTTTTTCCTAATATTTATAGCAAATTTAGTGATAGTTTTAATTATAATTATAAGTTTTTTAAAAATTATTTACTAAAATGATGAAAATTCTAATTTTATATATTGTGGATTTCTGAACTAAAAATTAAATAATTCTGATAAATAATAATAACTGCGCGCATAACAAAAGTTTCTAAACTATAGCAATATACTTAATGAGCAGCAGCCAAACGAATGACAGTTCTTTATCATCCTAACAGTATACTTGATTATTCACATGAATTCCGCTGATTTGGTGAGGTATTTTTGAGTCAGTCTTTTTTAATTTAAATAAAAAGTTGTTTCGGGTGAAAAAAACTATTGAGTTAACTATGAAGTTACTGTATACATGTGTGCGCACACGGATTTATGATATGTTATTAAGAACGGGAAACTGGGTCCGGATGAATTAATTGACTAAAATGTGAAAGTATTGGTTTCTATGTACTGAGATGAAAAAGTGAAATCAAGCGACCATAATAAATAATTATGTCCAATATATATATATGGTCAGATTTTTTGTATTAGCGATGGAATACTTTAATCCCAATTCGTTTTTATATAATTAGATCAATTTTACTGGTTTAAAATAATTATTGAAAAAATGTCATACTATTTTTTTTTATATCTTGTATTTTCTAAGTGAAATACCAAATCTAAAAGGAAATACGGAATCTAAGGGGTGACTGATGTGAGCACGACTACCAAACGCAAATGAATCATGCACAGAGCACAGTGATTCAGTGAAAGCCCAATGATTCAGAAGTCAAAATCGTAAATGAGCCGTTGCAGAGTCGAAGTCAGAGTCTTCGTGACTTTCGCCCGAGGCTTCGGAAAACTACGTTCTCTTAACATTTTGTTGAGCTCGTCGCAACTTGGAACTTGCCAAATAATAACAATAATAAAGAATACTATGTTACGGATGCACGAGTAGGCTTTTAGACACGCCAAGTTTGACATCCCAATGTTCACATGTAGACATTTTGATCCGCTGAGGCGGGACCGGATGGTGAAGATGTGGCCTCCCTCTGGGTTCTACGTCCTGAACGAGAGCCATCATTCGGCTTTCTTCTCCGCCCCGGACGCCCTTTTCGACTGCCTCGTCCATGCCGTTTCCTCTCTTGAACCGCGTCAGGATTTTATATAATCGATGATGTATGGTTCTTGCGGTGTATTTGGACACATGGGATTTTATATTTCTAGTGGTTTTATATCCGTAAAATATGAAATAAGATCAATTGTTTTTTTTTGGTGATTAAAGGATCGAAAAAACCATGAATGATTTTCTCTAAATTAGAGATTCGAACTCGGGTACGGATAGGAGAGATGCTAAACACCACGAATGTTTTTCTACCAACACACAGGCGTGAACAAATATATATGCAGCCAAGGGAATACATGTAAAATAGAAAATACGTTATTCGATTGTTCAATGTATATATGTATCCATATGTATGATTGTGTATATATATACATAGTTTTAAAAAATATAAGGATATTTTGGTCTTTTTATTAAACATAACTGTCGAAACACTTGTAAAAAATTACGATTAGAATTTTCACGTTTTATTACGATTATGGATGATGTAACAACCCAGTTTTTTTTTTAAAAAAAAAAACACGGACCGTCCGTTCCGGAGAGCACAGAACGGACGGACCACACAGGAGCGGAATGTCCGTTCCAGACAGTCTCGGAACGGACGGACCAGACTGTTGGCAACGACCAAAGTCGCGGCTTTCGTCCGGACTGACCTGAAAACGACCCCTGCTCACTCACCCCAACCAGAAAACCTGACTTTTTGATATTGAGCGTGATTTGGTCTACCCTGGGTTCGGATTTCCACCAAAAATTCGACCAATTCGGGCTTTATTTAGCCATCTTTTTCCTCTTCATTCTTCCTCAACCTCAGAGCCGAATTCTCCCTCAAATCCGAGGAACTCACGTCCTTACTTACTTCTACAGACACAGAGGAGCATCACCAAACCCCCTATCCGTCACCCAGAGCACAGAATTAACCCGATGTGAGTGAATTCGAGTTTAATTCGGAAGTCTGTTGACATGGGGTTTTGGGTTTTTGGGTGTTTCGTGCCAAATTGATGTTTGATTCGTGTTCTCCATGAAATTATATGAGTTTTGATGAATTACCTATAGTGAATCGTGCATGTTTGAATGTTTTTTATGAGATCCGAGGACCAGAACATCCGGTCTGAGGTTAGACCGTCCGTTCTAGGTCTGCAGGAGAAAACGCGAAGTCCAGAGGTTGAAGACGAAGTCCAGTGTGACACCCGTAACCCGTGTACAGTATACGGGCTGTGCCACATGGACAATATATAATAAAATAATAAATTAATAAATGGCGGAAGCAAAAATTCCAAAATCCAAAAACATTTTTTCTTTAAATAGACCAGAGTCAACAGCGGAAAATACAAAGCGATTAGTATCGCAAAACAACACATGTCCGAATAGTCATAATTAAGCCGTACAAAATGCCGGAAAATACATATCCTTGGATTTAGGGAAACAAATCCCGTACGTGATGCTGCTGCTCTCCAGTCGTCGTCGTCCGATGAGCTAGGCGTAATCCTCGTGATCTGGAAAAATATGAAACACGAGGGCTAAGCACAACTGCTTAGTGAGTAGCCCGGGTGGAACCCGGGAATCCCGTTCCCAATGAGGACGGTACAGTCGACATTCCCAAATACACATGCAATAAGTATACCAATACAATAACCACAACAATAGCAAACACAAACACGCCCGTATGGAGTCCACCATAGGGCTTAGCCGTAAACCCTAGTCAAGTCCATGACTAGGGGCGAATCCACGCCCGTCACACGCGTGACGTTGGCCATCGCATCACATGCGATCGTGCGCGTCACCTGCGCCCGTCACTCTCGTGACTACCGATGTCGAGTCCACGACACAACGGAAATACAATCATATCCCTGTGGAGTCCACCACAGGGTCCAGCCATATACCCTAGTCAAATCCATGACTAGGGGCGAGTCCACGCCCGTCAAGTCCATGACGTTGGCCGTCGTGTCGCACACGACAAAAATGCGTCTCAAACGCGTGTCAAGTCCATGACACCGACGGTTGAGTCCACAACCGTCCACAAGCACAATCACGCTTGGCTCGTACGCACGAGCAAGCTACACACATGGCACACGACGTGCAATATCCCCAGTATACAACCATGCATATCACGGTACCCGGTCCCTACTGGAATACCGTTCAACGCCATGCAACTCTACCCGCAAGCAATCACACAACGATCACTCGTCATTTGACATCACACATCTCACCACGTTACGCAACGTTTTAGTAAAACTTGTTCCGATTGATCCCAATCGCGAAGCCTGCCCTCCGCTGATAGTTTGGTTCGCCCACAGTCACGTCTGGTCGGGCCCGGGTCAACCCCGAGGGTCGTTTTCTCCTTCCCGGTCAAAGGTTGAATTTTCCTCCAAGTTTCTGAGCCTGGTCCGGCGGACCAAGTGTTGGTCAGCCGGACCGGCCCCTTTTCTTCCCCTGGTCCGCTCCGTCTGGGTCCGTCGGTCCGAGAGAGGAAAAACAGGCCTGGTCCGGCGGACCACAGTTGGTCAGCCCCGGACCAGCCTGCTTCTTCTCTCTCGGTCAGCGCCTTCTGGTCCGTCTGAGTGTCCGCACTCCGACACGTCTGGTCCGGCGGACCAGGATTGGTCAGCCCCGGACCAGGCGTGTCCTTCTCCTTGGTCCGCTCGCTTCTCCCCGGTTCGGCGGACCGTGGGGCTTCGGAACACGTCTGGTCCGGCGGACCAGGACGTGTTTTTCTCGGTCCGGTCCGTCTTTCCTGGCTCGGCGGACCGCGTGACCGCGGAACACGTCTGGTCCGGCAGACCAGGATCTGGTCCGGCGGACCAGGACGTGTTTTTTTTTTCTCGGTCCGGTCCGTTCCTTGGTCCGTCTGAGCGCCCGAGTTTTGTTCCAGTCCTGGTCCGGAGCTGACCACGCGTGGTCCGGCGGACCGGGACTGGAACCTTCTTCTTCCTCGCGATTTCTCCGGTTCTGTTTCGATTTTTCTTGCTCTAATCGATTTGGGGTTGCTTCTAGATGCCAATTAAACATAGATTTACATTCCTAGACATGTTCTAAGTCTCAAACACGCAAGGAAATCTCGAATTGGACCATCAAACATTGAAAACGAGATCCCACAAATTCAACTCAAGCCACTCACATGTTCTTGAGCTTAACCGAGCTCGTGTGAGTTCCTCGTGGCTCCACACGACGCGTGAAGCTCCGGGACACGTCTGGGCACGTCCCTCTTGGTTCCTCCGAGCTCTTTTCTCTCTGATTTGCCTCCACTCTCTCCCTTTTTCTCTCTTTTTCTTCTTCCCAATTTTAGCTCGCCATGGCTAAGTCTGGAGATTGGGAGGGATATAACTCGCGGAAGAGAGGTCGCAGGGGTCGACATCCGGGCCCAGGGGCAAGCCTGCAGCGTCCTCCAGGCGTCGGACGGTGGCTGGACGCGTGTGGATCCAATTTCCGACGAGTTCTCGCGTCCCGAAACTCGCAACAGAGCGAGCTGGAAACTGTCGGATTCCGGTCCGCCGGACCAACTCCTGGTCCGCCGGACCGGAATCTTTTTTTTTTTTAAATTTTCTTCTTTCCGGTCCGCGCTGGTGCCTCTCCTCGGCATTGTACTATTTATTCTTGGTGATTTCGTGATATTCCTATTTAATTATTTATATTTAAATAATTAAATATTCCATTCGGGTTTCGGGGTATTACATCCAGACCGTCCGTTCTGGACAGTCCGGAACGTCCGTTCTGCACTAGCCAGACCGTCCGGTCTGGACAAGGCAGAACGTCCATTCTGAACCGATTGGACCGATCGGTCTAGGGACTAGACCGATCGATCTGAAAAAAAAAAAGAGTAACGGAACCTTAAAATTTCACCATGTGGAAAATTGAGAAACTTGATAAGACGAACCTAATATTACCCCGGCTCAAATTATGAAAAAGTGAAAAATATAAAATATATCGGAAATACGGGTCAGACCGAACCCCACGTAGTCTGGACCCAAAATGACTAAACAAGTAAGGTTAAAAACTACGGAATGAACCGAACTGGTTATCCGGGCGGACCAAGACCAGCTAGGTCATTCTGGAGGTACAATACGGTAGTATGAATGAAGATACTCAAAGAAAATATATAAATAAATATAAAAGACTACGCAAGCGGAAATGCATGTATAGTAAATAAACTATATAAATGTATGTGACTGGGGTAGTTGGCATGGTACTAGCATTAATTCGGAAGGGTTCGGATTAACGTTTAGCACGTGGTTGTAGAAACGGACGTTTGTGAATGATTGCACGGTGATTGCGAGATTGTGTCCCATCCATGGGCCATCCGATCCGGGTCGGATGTCACCCATATGGGATATGACTGTGAATGTGGCGATTATATGATCGCGTCAACGTCCGAACGATAGGACGGTTATGGGCACCCCGATGACTTGCGTAGATAGCCGATTGTAGTCGGTACTATTGTGTGACGAGGAACACACGGTTCTTGGAACCGCGCCAACGTTTCCGTTAGCGACGGAGCGGACCCCGGGATATGAGTATCCCGAGGATGAGGGCATCACACATACCTGAGGTTCGGGTAGATTAAGGTCTCCCGAGGAGGTGGTACAGACTTACTCTGCCAGGTTCGGGTCCGAACCTGACAAGTATTTCCGCGACGAATGGTCAACGAGGGAGAGTTGCAGCGATGGGCTCTCTCGTTATAGTCGATGGCGTCGGTTGTATCCGACGTCTGGTGAGCTCCGGTATTGAGAGGTGACATCAATGCAGGAGTTGGATGACACGCCTAGTATCGAGAGGTGACATCGATGCTAGGGTGGGGTGATGTGTTCGGGAGGAGAAAAATATATTTATGCCGGATCCGAGTGGTTGCGGAGTAGATGGATTCCGAGGAGAGAGGTGGTTGTGCTATGCACATGGGGAGTATATTACCTACGCATGGTGCGCGTAGAGACGATTTGACGGACTCTGTCCTGCGACTTGTCGTACGGACTTGATTGTGATTGTTGCATGCTTATCGTGATTCCATATTTCATTCATGTTTATTATAATACTCACTACAAGAAACATCAAAATTTGCGACAGAAAAATATTTCGCAAATACAAAAGAATATCTGTCGCAATTACAAATTTGCGACAGATTGCGACAGAATCATTTCTGTCCGTATATTGTTGTCGTAAAAATTTGCCGGTCGTTAATCTGTCGCAAAGTTGCGACGGACAAAATCCGAGTTTTGCGACAGAATTGCGACAGAAAAATCTGTCGCAAATATCT